AATATTTGGGTGTTTTTACTCTTTACCACTTCGTAAACTTGGTCACTTAAGACGGGACTTAAACTCGACGCGGATAAGTTGATCACTTTGAAATGTTAATATTAGATCTTAGACCCAGAGATGGGAGGATCCAAAATACGGCTTAAGTGATGCACAAAGAACTCGAGAGAGTCTTTGATAATTACGTAGAGATGCGAATTTTGTATGTATGTAGCTAAGGATCAAGCGATGGTTATTCTTATCACAAAGAGATTTGGGTAGGAATTTTATTTCTTCTTCTATTTAGCTAAATCGGCAAGTTTCGAATTGGTAAGCATAGGAACTTTGTGGAATTTTATGGAGACCGTTTGTAAATTTTCACTTTCGAGAGATTATAATTTTTGTAAACAACTCATAAGTTTCTAACCATTTTATTGGTGATTTCATCTTAAGGAAACACTTACACTCATTCTCATTCTTTAGTCTATAAGTTCATTTCGCTATTTTAGTCTGTTAAAGTTTTTTATAAACAAAAATCAAATTTTTATTCACAAACCGAAAACACGAGCAAAAAGTTCATGAAAGTCTTTGAATCTTAGTAGTCTAGTCCCTGTGGAAACGATCTCGTTATTTTACCACTTTATTACTTGCAAGCGATCATAGTGTCGGCTTGCACTTGCACCGCCACGGTGGGGACTTTATGCCCAGTGTATGAACACGAACGATCCTAAGCTGTCACTTATCAAAGAAGCTGAAGAGTTCATTCCTCAAAAGGTAGCACCACCTACTCCCAATGAGTAGGGCAGGTCCATTTCTTTCACCCTTAGCTCCATAGTCTTTGATTTTCTTATATTTTTTCAGTTTTATATAAATTGAGTCTGGGAACTTTGAATTTTGTTTTAGTAATTTATGAGATTGTTTGACTGTTAACAAACCATATCCCAATTAATTTTGCTGTTAAAAGGCTCTTCCAACACTTAAGGCTAGAACCAAGCACACCCACCTGGGAAGCAAATAAACATCCCAACTTGCTATTTTGGAATATGACTTAGGCCATTCTTTCCTATACATCAGCCCATACACTACCACTTTGAACCCATGATCCTATCCCTTAAATAACGTCAATGAGGACATTGACACATTCAAATGTGGGGGAGGGAGTGTATGCACCATATGTACTAGTATGCAACAAAAGTCCAAAGGACAATAGAAAAAGCTCAAAGCTCAATTTTTTTTTTGCATAGAGTACAAAATGTTCAAGTCAAAGCAGAAAAGATCAAATATGCATAACATACACACTGTTTGTGCATAATAAGAACAACTTGAATAACTGAATAAAGAATGTACTGAGCCTCCAAAGAAGAAAACCAGTAAAAGTCCTAATGATTCTGACTTTTAGTAATATATACTAGTATGCAACAGAAGTCCAAAGGACAATAGCAAAAAAGCTCAAAGCTCAATTTTTTTGCATAGAGTACAAAATGTTCAAGTCAAAGCAGAAAAGATCAAATATGCATAACATACACATTGTTTGTGCATAACAAGAACAGCTTGAATAACTAAATAAAGAATGTACTGAGCCTCCAAAGAAGAAAACCAGTAAAAGTCCTAATGATTCTGACTTTTAGTAATATGTACTAGTATGCAACAGAAGTCCAAAGGACAATAGCAAAAAAGCTCAAAGCTCAATTTTTTTTGCATAGAGTACAAAATGTTCAAGTCAAAGCAGAAAAGATCAAATATGCATAACATACACACTGTTTGTGCATAACAAGAACAACTTGAATAACTGAATAAAGAATGTACTGAGCCTCCAAAGAAGAAAACTAGTAAAAGTCCTAATGATTCTGATTTTTAGTAATTGGTAGATGATGTCTAACAACAGAAAGTGTGACTCTTGTCCTATGAAAATAAGTGGAAGGATTGAATCACACACAAAATTATGCATGGTTATGGTGTTATTTTGTTATCAATCTCATTATGCGTTAAATTTTCATTTTCACCCTTCAAATTTTCTTTGAAATTCCTAGTATTGAGTCATTTTAAGTTGTCATTTTAGTTTCTTGGGGACAAACAATAGTTTAAGTGTGGGGGTGTGATAAGTGTGCAAAAACATACACTTTAGCACCAAATTATGTTTTTATTTCACTTCATTTTACATCTTTCTCAATCCAATATTGATTCTTACAATCTTATTTTATGGTTTTACATTTAGTGGAGTTAGGATGCACGAATGGTAATGTCTTATGAGTTTGATGAGTATAAATGCTAACATAAGCATTGTTATAGCAGGTGTATACGTTGCTACAGCACTGGACGCTGGATATGACGTAACTGGCTCAATCTCATTGAATAATTTGAAAAGCCAAAGTTTTGAAGAAAGACAACTCTTAGTACTATTGACAAACAATTTAGATGGATGATGCTCCTACAAGATGCCTCAACTTTTTGTACTAAAGCATCTTGCACTAAAAAGCATCTTTCTTTTACCCATTGGTTAATAACCAATGGGTATTGCCCTCTTGTACTTTTTGAAAGAAATTTACAAAAAACCTAACTTACCCCTAAATATTATCCATAAAATTCTCAAAATTTAAAATTTTGAAAGTTTATGGATAATTATCAAAACTAATATCTTTAATAATAATTATTGATTATTAATAGCGTACAGATGATATCAATTTTCTAACCAAAATGGAATCAGTTTTATTAATGAAATCAAATATCGTTCAGTCAATGAAACATTTCAAGATCTGACTACTATTATTTCATTAATCAAAGTAGTTTCATGGTTTCTAACCAAAATGAAATTAGTTTCATTTTTGAGACATTTTGATGTAGTATTTTTACAAATAGATTCTTTTGTTATTATGACAATGAAATAAATAATTTCATAACAAATAAATTATTACAAATAGACTTTGTAATTGATGAAGTATTTTTAATTTAATAAAAAAATATAGAATATTAATGGTAATAATTATATATTAAAATCAATTGATTTACAGTTTCTTTAAAAACAATTACTTTATTTAATCTTTCATATTTAAAAACAATTTAAAGATTATCTATTACAAAGTAAAATGACATTCATACCCTTGTTTATTAAAAATAAAGAAAAAAACATGAAATTATTTTATTGGTTGATGGTGGTTTCTATTGTGTGTATGAAATAAGAGGTTTGCAAAGTAATCACTGTTAAATCAAATTACATAAACAATAATAGGATCGAATTATCATTATTATGAAAAAACATCCATGACTTTAATCTCGAAGATGAATAGTAAACTTACTTATATGAACACTTGAAATTGTCTTACTTGATGAAGTCATGATCACTCTTAATAATCTCTTTGATGCCAATCAATTATGATGGAGTTACAATTTTGTTATTGTGTTAAAGTCTCCAATTAAATGGTGCATTCAATTGAAAGAGAATAAAAGGAGACGATATGATATGCATATTTTGACATCAAAAGGATTAAGGAAGAGATAACCACAAATATATATATATATATATATATAGTTAGTTACAGTCGGTTACAGTGATCGGTATCACCCATCGAGATAATCGGAGGACCTGCATGTAATTAAGTCATAACTAAGATAATTAAATTAAACATTTATCACTAATATGAGATTAATATAAATAGTCTTGGCCATTAAGACAGAGCAATTTTCTGACAATCCCTCTCTCTCTGTGTCTTTATATATATATATATATATATATACATATATATGGGTCCATTCAAGGGAGAACTGGTTAATTTATGGTAATCATGAGATCCAATCTCAACTACAAATCAATAGATAAATTAGGAAATTTATAATTTTGGTAACTTTTAATTAAAATTTTAATGCAAAGACATTTTATGTATTTTCTCTCCTCTCTCCGTCCCCGTCTTCCGGCCACCGTCCTCCGGCCTCCGGCCACCATTCTCCGGTGATACCACAGTGTGATACTCAAGCACATATAAGATGCATTGTGATACCACTGTGTTACATATCCGATCGACCACACAAACGACCACAATGTGATACTCAATCACATATATGATGCATTGTGATACCACTGTGGTATCACCAGAGGACGGTGGCCGGAGGACGGTGGTCGAAGGCCAGGGGACGGTGGTCGGAAGCCGGGGGACGGAGAGAGAAGAGAGGAGTTAAGAGAGAGGAGAGAAAATACATAAAATACCCTTGCATTAAAATTTTAATTAAAAATTAACAAAATTATAAATTTCCTAATTTATCTATTGATTTGTGGTTGAGATTAGATCTTACGGTTACCACAAACTAATTAGTTTTCATTTGATTAGGCCCTATATATATATATATATATATATATATATATATATATATATATATAAAAGTTGTGTATTTGTATAATATAGTGAGATTGTAAGACTACATTGTACATCAAAAATAAAAAGTTGATATAATTATATATTAGAAAAATATGAAATTTATGTTTAACAAAATAAAAATCTTAACCATCTTTAATAACACAAATTTTGTACATAAATGATTAAATATGATAGATTGTTTTGATTTTATTCAGAAACACAAAAAATTTACTATGTTAAAATTTATTAGTGTTTATCGGGTAAATTGTTATATACAATATCGTTTTAATGAACTTAAATTTTAACCAGTTATCCGAATAAAGGGGTATTTGAGATTACTTATTTGAAATAACTTACGTTTTAAAAAAATACTTATCAACTTATTATAAGTTAGAAGAGATAAACTTTTTCAAAAACTATTTATTACCGGTTTGACACCGGTATAAATTATTTATCCATGCACTCAAAAATGCTTATTATCGATGTTACACCGAAATAAATCGATAAATTATTTTTATAAGCAACCCCAAACACCCCTAAATAATTGATAAAATATATATAGAAGATTTGAAAGGCATATATGATTAGTCTTTCCATAGCCTTGCAATTTGGAAAAAAAGGGAACGGATGTTTTTATCTGGTCAAATATTTAACCTAATTTTAGAATGGTTGATTATCCCAATGGTGGGTGACCTTCGTCTTTTATCGACACAAACACCCATCCCTCTGATTTCTTCTTTCGACCAACACCCGAAATTTCCTCTCTCCATCCCTGTACACAGACATGGGTTTCGTTTCCTTCCTCGGAAGGGTCCTCTTTGCCTCGCTTTTCATCCTTTCCGCTTGGCAAACGTAAGTCACGATCTACAATTTGTTGTTTCTTTCTATGTACATTTCTGATTCAATTCATGATCATATCATTAATCTATCAAATTCTATGTCTCTCGATCCAATTTGGCTCCGATTATCGTTGGAAATTTACTTTTTTTTTTTAGAAAAAGAAATGACGTTGGATTACCTTTTTTCAGCTGAAAACATGATGAACGAAGATACAGCTGCGTCCACTGTCTAATTTGTTTTGTTTTTCCCCCTTTTTTCTGGTATTATGGTTTGTTGGTCTTTTGAATTCATGTTACTTGATGTTAGAAGGTATGGTTTCTTTGATTTGTGGCGTTAGTCGAGCATGATTGCCAATAATGAAGAAATTGAAATGGTGGAAACAATCATGAGATGATCGTCTTATATTCTGTTAGAGCATTTAAATTGCATCAACGAATGTAACTGTGGTTCTAGCATGCATTTGCTCCATGTCCCTTTAAAAGATTCCTCTTATTAATCCTCCTAGATACAGCTTTATATTCTATTAATCACTTATGAATTGCCCCTATTAATCACTTGTGAATTGTCCCTATTTAATCACTTATGAATTGTCCCTATTTAATCACTTGTGAATTGTCCCTATTTAATCACTTGGTGAATGGATTGAGACTCACAATAGTATCTTCTTTTGTGCTTGAATGTGCATACTCTCACTTTATTATTTCACTCTATTTCTTCACCAAAAGGAAAAAGAAGACCAATTTGGTTGTTAATTTGATGGTGGTTGTATACTTGCTCACTTTTAATACCCCTAAACATTCATCGATGGCTAGAACCATATAGTTCTCATGTCTTATGGGAGAATTCATATAAATCGTTCACACAAATCAAATCCATTGCTGATTCTAGTTAAAAAGAAGCAAAGGAATTGGTGGGTTTTGATTAGATTAATGTGATCATTGTTGTTCACTGGTCATTGGTTCGACATTTATTGGACTGCATATCAACAAAATATCATGTAGTATTTGGCTGGTTTAAGTTCCAATATATCCTATTGAAAGCTGATTAATCGTAGAGGTTTATGGGTATTCTTATATTCATAGCATTTACTCCGAACCATCAAAACTAATTTTTCTTTTGTTTTAATGAACCATAAGGTTTGTGACTCGGCCCCCTTTTCAACAAATCACAACTAGTTTGAATGCAAAATATATCTAGAAACAGACTAGTGGCTGCTCTCAAGATTATCTACCTACGCAATATTTCTTGTCTTATTCATTGATGAAGAAGGATTTTTACAGCTGAATATGTGATTGGATGAACAGGTTCAATGATTTTGGTGATGATGGTGGCCCTGCTGCAAGGGAACTAGCTCCCAAAGTAGCTTCCTGTCATAGATTTCTAACCTCCAAGATTGGCAATGGAATACCAAATATTGATGTAAGACTCAATAGTTTTCAATTTTCAGGAGTGAGCCTTGGATTACTCATCTGTTTGAGGTAGAGGTCAGGTCTGCATACATCCCAGACCCCACCTCCAGGTGGGATATACTGGGATTGTTTGGTTTACTTGTCTATGATAGAATGTCACAGGTTTGAATCGTGAAAAATCTATAAGCAAAATACAAGAAATATTATGTGTTTATGAAGCCATGGTGGGCGATAGGGCCGGACTTTTACTCCATAAAATGTTTGTGCTTTTGCATTACAAGCCTATCTAAATTAGCAATGTAATTGTGCAGGTTAAGCATATTGTTTTGGCCTCGATAGCCATTAAAGGTCTTGGTGGGATTGTGTTCGTTTTTGGCAGCTCCACCGGTGCCTTTTTGTTGGTCAGTATTTCTATACTTGTCAAATACTTTTCCTCAAACCGCTGGTCTTCAGGGAAAGTCTCTCTACTCTTTGGATCCCACCTCCATACCCTACTTCCCGATTTCCCAATGGGAAATACTGGGTCTGTTTTTACACAATTTTGAAAAACCGTTAGAGTGTGGCTGAATTATTATCAATAATTCTTATTCCAATTTTGCAGATGCATTACCTGCTATTTACGACCCCGATTGTATATGATTTCTACAACTATGAAATCGACGAGCCAGAGTTTCACATGCTCCTAGCGGAGTTCTTGCAGGTTTTTGATTTTGAACTATGTTGTTAAGTTCTAACATGCGTCTTATTCTCCCATGAAAACTGTGACGTTTGATATGAAAATTTGTTATCATTTGTTAAATATCTCCTAATAAAGACAATCATGAAATCTTGCGAACCTAAATCAATACCATAGTTTATCTGTAGTGATGACAGGTAGATCAATAAATTTTCGTTTTAGCTCTTCATCCACAAAGGAAATGTTGCAAATTTTCATGGGAGTGACCATGGGTCGTCCCTTAGCATGTTAAATGTGATATTTTGAATAGCCGGGGCCCAAATTTATATGTGTTTAGGATCTTTTTATCGACCTGTGTAAAACTATAGCCGAAGTTATTTAGGTTCAAACCATTAGTTGTTTGGTTTTAGGTTCAAATTATTAATGGTTTAGGTTTAGTTTCAGATTGTTAATCGTCTTAAGTTTAGCCCATTTTTGTTCTTTAACATATATTCTTTGTTATCTCATTTAGACAATGTAATCAAAAGTTTTGGATGTAACAGGACCTCAAAAAAGATTGGAACGTCCCATGATGGGACATAGGAAAGATGTGTTTTTCTTTTTTTTTTCTGTAACTATAGATGTCCGGGCCAGCTTGCGTACTCTCTGACTAATCCCATGGGTCCTTGAAACTAACAACCAGACAAACCCTCCGGTGGCCTTAACGGGACTTGAACTGACGATCTTTAGGAAGCAAACCAAACCCAAATTCTTATCAGTTGTATGCAAAGCTTTTTGTTTTGGTAACTTGGTATTTATTTGTGGGCAGAACTTGGCATTATTTGGTGCACTTCTCTTTTTTGTGGAAATGAAGAAGTTATCTCCAAGGAAAGTAGTCAGGAAGAAGGCCCCAAAGGCAAAGACGACTTGAGTGTCCATTCATATCATTTGGTCTTTTCGTTTTTCCGTTTCTCGTCTTCATTTTGTGTGCTCGATCTTATATTTATCTTCACGTCGGATGCACAAAATAAGAATCCGAATGAAACGGACTAATGGTCTCGTTCAATAATTTTTCGATGTAAATTCCTTTCCTTTTTCTTTTTTTGTACCAACTTCAATGATATTAATTACATTCACAAATATCATTTGCATTAACATCTCGTTACTATATAATTGGTAGTTTTTTATTTGTCACTTCTCGCTATTGATTTCAATTAGCGTAACCTTACGATCAACCGGCCACGATCGTACGACCTGAAGGTAAAATACAATATTATTTCATCGTAATTTCAGTCTTCTTGAAACATCATAATAAATGTCAATTTGTACATTTATATAAATGGGTGTTCAAAAAAATCGGAAAACCGAGCTGAACCCTTTGATTCGAAACCGAAAAAACCGATAATCGGACAATCCGAAAATCAAAAACCAAAACCCAAAAAAACCGAGTATTCACAGGTAGATTTCAGTTTTGAATGTTAGGTACCTGTGGGTAATCGAACCGTATATAATGTATATAGAATATATAATATATTATTATTATTATTTGTATATTTATTAACCCAAGTTAAATGAGTAAAGTCTTTTACGTTTTGGTGTCAAGAGTTACAATGGATGGTTAACTTTGGTGGTATAAAGTCGTGAAAGAGTCGACAGTAACTGAAAAGGAGATGTTTTTAAACAATTAATTTGTTGCGTAATTGTTTTAAATGTTATATACTTATATTTTGATTAATTTCAAAAGTTAAATACAAATTTGGTCCCTGTGATTTACGCAAAATTAACGAGTAAGGTCCCTCAAAATAATTATTAAGGAGAGACGTCTTTATAGTTTCATTTTTATAACGAATATGGTCCCTCTTCTAACTCTTTCAGTTAAGTTTTTGTTAGTGAGGGACAATTTTGTCTATTCATCTTCTTGCTCTCAGCTTTCATTTTCAATAACGGATTTGGTTCCTCAAACTACTTTTAATTTTATAACATATTTGGTCCCTCAAACTACTTTTCATTGTTATAACAGGTTTGGTCCCTCAAACTATTTTTATTTTTTATAACAGATTTGGTCTTTCCCTCAACGCTCATTTTTAGGATTTGGTCTCTCCGTCTAATCAATAAAATTTGATGGCACAAACATATATTTTGAAGCTTAGATTTTGCCATTAAATATTTTATCTTTTTAAAAATATTACTTCTATGAAACTCTTAGCTCAAATAAAATATAATTCTGATAAAATTTTGTTTTAATTAGTTGAAAATTAAATTAAAAAAGTTTAAAAACTAAATACCTAACAATATATTAGATAAGAAGATATAAAAGTATTAAACTTAAGAATTGTTAATTTCCAGATTCAACGAATAGAACAACAGTCTAAATATAGCAATTCAAGAATTCGAGAATTCGGCTTGTATACTGATTGGGAGGAAATTTTACAATACAAAAAGTAGATGGTTTGGAGTAAATGCTATGTATATAAGAAGCAACTACTTTTCTCACAACTACTAAAACTGAAAATAACAAAAAACTATTTATATTCTAAGGTATTTACATTTTTAGTCCATCTACTTTAATACAATAAAATATAAACCTAACATTCTCCCCCTTTGTACCAAAGTAGCATCAGATAAATCTTCTCCACCTTGAACGAAAACTAAAATATGCTTCAGATCTTATAAGCATTCTTCTATATTCAAGTTTTTCAGTAATTTGATCAACGACTCTAATCAGTTGGCTTTTTATCGTGAACATCAAGCTTGTCAAGACCTCTTCTGTCTAAATCTAATTTGCTTGTCATCCTCAATTTGGTTAACTTCAATGTACCATCTGAATAAGCCGAAAGATCTTTGAATCTCATGAACATTTTCCCTCTAATTTCGTTTGAACACACAACCCTAAACTCATGCGCTTCGAAAATCATGAACACAGGAAAGGATTCGATATCTTCTAAACTCTGATTAGGTCTCAACAAATTTACCTTCACTTTGATTACTTTTTATTTCCATTTGTAGATCACTTACATACCTAAGCTTAATTTGTATGAGCATAAACCGTTTAATAGCCTCTGTGCTATCTGGACATCTTTAGGTTTGATGGTCCAACAACGGAGCTCTAGGTACATAGTTTCAAAATCATCAAATATAAGATGTCTGAAGTCGGCTTCTAAGGACGTCCACTCTTTGGAATCTCTTCTTATGACTTTAAACACCTGAAACCTGACATTCAGTAGGCCGTCTGTGTAGATCTCCTTTATACCCACAATCTTGTGCTCAGTCTTCACCATTTCTACTGATTGAGCTTTAGACTTGAGCATATGTGATAACTCTTATTTTTAAGAGTTATTTCCTATTTATTTCCTCCTTTTTTGCTATTATTCAATACCCAATTTTCTTGTTTTTACTCTTTTATTCCAAAAAAATTTAAAAAGATGATGAAATACAAAGGAAGAGGTATTATTCCAAAAACCTGTATTTTTCTGACAGCACTGCCTAATGTGGCACCACTGTGGGATGTCTACCAGCCTTGTTGCAGCTTCTTGGGAAACGTGCAGCTTGAAGATTCATCCAGATATTTTCTTCAGTTGTATATGAGCTGTCTTCCTTCTTCTATTTTATTTTTATTTGTATTTTCTTAGACTTGTACTAATTACCTTTAAGGTAATGATTGGGGTACCTTACTCCCCTTCATCTCCCCTATATAAAGAGGCATTGGGAAGCCATTTTCAAGTGTGCCCAACACCATCTAAGACACAATACTCTCTAGTGTGTCTCTCTTCCCTTTTTCTTAATTATTATTATGCTTTTAAATTATGTCTTTAATTTATGTTTATTAATTTCTAGTATTTTACTTCCTTATACGTGTAATTTAGTTTTACATTAATGCAATTTATATTTCAGTATTATTTTATGTCTTTAATTACTTTTATTATATCTAACTAAATTACTTGTATGGGTGTGGGTATGAGTTTATGAGAGTCCACTTTAATCAATCTTCATGAATCAATGGCAGATCTGATTTATCATTCAAGAACATGTAGAAGGAGATGAGAGGATTTGTCAAACTTGGTCAAACTCTATAATACGTATATGATTTTTACAATGAAAACTTCCTACAAAGATTACAAATACCTCACCCTATTTATAGGGTCAAACAAACTAAACAAGGTCAAAGTCAAACAGTATAATAAAAGTCAAACACGATGACTTTTAAACAATTATAGACAAAATTAACTTTCAAGACGAATACAATTTACACTGATTTTCAATCCTAACATTCTCTCCCTTTGTATTCAGACTTGAAAGAAATTGCGCACTTTGAGTCTCGTTTGAACTTTGAAGCTTTAAGCACATTATGTCTTCTTCAAAAACAATCTTCAACATGAAATCTTCAGACAAACATTTGTTGAGAAAGATCTTCTAACATTCTCTCCCTCGAATGTAGAACAACGATGATCTTCTCTTTTAACAATGTAGAACAGAAACAATAACAATCTTCAAAACTGATCTTCAGCAAACTGTTGTAAAATGGATCTTCACATTCAACATCTCTCAGTCATTTTAACATCGGAATAATTTTCTGTAATCATCTCCAGTCGCACTCCTTTTGAGTCTTTTGCCATTATTGAAGTTACTCCCCCTTGATCTTTACATCAAATTCCCCTTATAATGTTCGGAATTGGACATTTCATTCATTATTATATACTCCCCCTTATGATGAAATGAGAATCATTCCATCATACACAAGAATGAATGAAATCCTCCGCGTAAGCCGTCAATTCATAAAATAGTAAGTAGATATTTTTAAATCCACTTGTTAAATTTTTTTCAGATTAAGGGAATGAGAAGATAACAACCAATTTCAACTAATGAAATTGTTTACAATCTTATAAAAGATTGGCCTGTGAGTATAACAGATATACTCAGTACAACGGATGTACTGTACATATGAGACTTTTTGATGCTCATCTCACCAGGTCTTCCATTCAATCATCGATAGCTTAAAAATAGCATATCTATGAATGTTTTGGCAAATTAACAAATAAAATGCAATCTGTGTAGTGTAGAAAGATAAAGCAACTAATGCTTCTGTTTAGACTAAAAAAGATAAACCGTGTGGACTACACAAATTTATCAAACTCAATTAGTGATCAAAAAGACTTGAAGGGGGGACATATATCCTTCTGATTCAATATCAACTTTCTCCGAATGAGAAATTGATAGAAGATGAGTTGCGAGCCCCAAGTGTTATTGAAACACTTATATGTTGAGAGATAAATGAGTAGCTGGTGGGGTTGTGATAAGAATTGGCTTGGTCTTTGCCTTTTTCAATATTAGTCTCGAAAGAATTGAGAACTAATAGATTGTGTGGTATGCCCGGATTTTAGAAGTTTGGAACATGATTCTTATGTTCTTTTAATCCTGACACAACTCTCATCAATTCTTTTAATCTCACAACAACTACCCCTCTCATTTTCATTTTAAGCTCTACACACAAACCCTTTTTCATTTTAAGCTCACTCAGATATGGTTGTCCTCATGGGTAGGTTTGTCGGTTCTGACATTCCATTGAGGTATTTCTGATAAGCACTCAGTCCCTCCTAAAATTTAACATTATGCTCAATTGATCACAAACAATTGATCAAAAATAATATTTCAGATAAAGCATAATGATCAGATAAAAATTGATCAAAATATTTGACTTTAAGCACAATCAATAAGGAATGATGCGACAATGATCAGATTATTAGGTATATATGAGAGAAATGAATGAAGATCTGTAAGAACGAGTTTACAAATTCTGATATTAAAAAAAATTGAATGTATATGAATCAATGTAAAAAAAATATCAGAAAACAAATTTGAATACAAACGAGCGTATTATCACCGAAAGTGATTATCATTTTAAGAGACGTGATAATAACAGCTTGAAGAATAGCTGAAATAGGTATTGAAGTTATGTACGATGAGAAATTACACAAGTAAAATCTCAGGAAATACCTGTTCAGAAAATGTACTCGTTTCCCAAAAAAAATTCACTTTTCAAAAACATTTATTTAAAACTTCTAGAGACTCCCCCTAGAAAGTAGATTATAGAAATGTTTCAGTTAAGCTCAAAAATTAAAAAGGAAACATTTTAAGCACAGGTTCTAAACTGAGT